ATTGTTTTGTTTTTATATTTTTTTAATTTAAAAATTCAATGTATAATATGGATGCATAAACGACTAATTTTAATTCAGTGTTAAATTTAGTTCTCCGGACCTTTACTGGTTGATGATTTTCTTTATTTGGTTGCTGTAGACCATTAAGGCTGCACCGATGGATCAGCCTGAGTTTGGTAGGTGATCTTCTCTACCTTTAAAATCCCCGGTTGTCATCGCTTTAAGCTTTTATATTCGCATCATTTCTACAGTTTTTAATCAGTTTCTTTATCTGTAGAATTTCTGAATGATCAACAAACAATCTTTAAAAAACTGATGTTCTGCCCCTGAGCAACTGTCTGTTGGATTTTATTGATCTCTTTTTGCAATGTTTTTAAATTCAAAATGAATTCCTTTAAGTTGTTGAAGGTTTTATGCCTAATAATTCCCTTGCTTGGTCAATAATAGAATACAGGAAGGTAAAATATAAAGTTTAGTTCAGCAGCAGTTATATAACCATATTCTTTTAAGGATTGATGAATCTAAAGTGAATCAGGTTGAAGATGAAGCACAATATTTTCAATCTCTTTCCAACATTTTTGTATTTTATGTGACTAAAGAGTGAAGGACCTGAATGTCTGTAGTTTAATTACAGAGCAGTGATGCCTCATGGGAAACGCTGTCAGTGTGGCTTTCAAAAAGAGTAAACAGAGAGGTTGTGGCGTTGTTGTGATCCGTGTTGTGAAGTTCCTGCCTTCTGGTTTCCTTTTGTTCAGTGAAACGTTTGAGACGTTTGTGTTTCTGTTTTTTAATAACTTGCTGGGAATGAGCCGAGGCTCGGTGTGGCCACGCCGCGTCCGGATGGGTGTCTCTCCAGACGGACTCGTTTCTTTTGGAAAAGCTGGGGGGAACAGACCGTGTCACAAGTTGAGTCACTCTACATTTCTTAACAAAGAGAGGCCTGACTGAAGTTGGCAGCTGGTTTAATGGTCAGAGAGGCCACAGAGCCTGGAATGTCCTGAATCCAGTCATCTCCATCCTCAGAGATTGCTGCTTTCGGTGCGTTGCATCAGGTTCGCTCCTGTTGAACTAAAGCCTCACAGTGTGTAATTTAGCCGCTATATAAGCTGACCTGACCCACCATACTGATGGCTTAAGCAGCAACATCTTTGTTTTGTTTTTTAAAACCGATGTTTGAACGTGTGAAAAATCTGTGAATTAGAGCTAAGTCACGATCTTGCCTTTGGTTTCCCACATGAAGGAGCTATGAGTCCAAAGCAACGGATAAAGACAATAACAGCCAAGAGTTTAAATGGCCAGAGGAAACTGCTCACGTCTAAAAGAATCCCAACATGCCTGGTGATGGAAGCCGATGTGTTCACATCGGGAGGTTTTTATAAAGTTGACTAGATGTGTGTTGAGGTCTTTGGTCGACTGTTTCTCTCTGAGGTCTATGGTTGACTGAGTCTCTCTGAGGTCTATGGTTGACTGTTTCTCTCTCAGGTCTTTGGTCGACTGCGTCTCTCTGAGTTCTTTGGTCGACTGCATCTCTCTGAGTTCTTTGGTCGACTGCGTCTCTCTGAGTTCTTTGGTCGACTGTTTCCCCTCTGGCAGCAGAACTGTGTGAAATAATTTCTAAAGTTGGTGCTTCATGGAAACTGTAGCTCTTTCTTAGTATCCTAATCTGATTGGTAGGATAACCTCCGGATAAACAAACAAACTCAATCACATCCAGCCCAGATAAGCTCTGCTCAGTCCGTCTCCCAGCAGGAGGGAGACCTAGACGGAAGGAAGTCTTGGTCTGTTCAGTCCTCTACCAGAAGCTTCTGCTCCATTGCAATGAATCCTTTACTTTCATCACAGAAAGTTCAAACTCGTTTCATTTCTTATTTCACATGTATGAAAAAGTTTGGCTTCACGAGTCTGAGCTGATGTGCTGTTAGTGCTGCATGGTGTGTCGGACGGGCCTCTGGAGACGGGCCTCTGAAGACGGGCCTCTGGAGACGGGC